TTGCAAAACCCCTACAGCCAGGTGCAAACATATATTTAAAGAACAGGGTGTCTCTGATTCTAGGAATTTCTTTTCATCTTCAAAACTTAACCTTGTTCATAGTCCTTTAATGCCAAAATTCACTTTTGGCTTTCCTTATTAAACATCCCAATTTCTGTTGCCCCTGTTATTAAATAGCAGACAGTCAGATATTTTTGCTATTCTTCTAGAAACTACCACAGATATTCTAGTAGCTATCTTCTGCTCCCTCCTTGCTCTAAAAGACTGGCTCCCCGTTAAAAGACTGGCTCCCACAGTGATGCATTAACATGATATTTAATGGCAGGCAAGGGTACAAGACAGAACAGGTAGCTAGCCCTTCATTTTGGTGGAGTCAGGCGCTCTCCCCAGAAGATAAGGTTCTACCTCCTGCCCAATCTCTGTTGTCCCCTTGTGTTTGAGTTTCCTTTAGGCTAATCCTAAAAAACCAGGGCTAAAGCACTTGAGATGTGACATTCCCCCCACCCCCTCCCCCAAATCAGGGTCATGCAAATAACCATTATGTTCCTGAGGGAAAGGGTATATCTGCTTGTATTTGTTGACTGTAATAACTGTCCATCAAATTCAGCATCTGTACAAAGCCCATACAATTCCCACACTGTTCTGCATAGACAGTATGCTGTCCTAGCCCCATTCTCCACGCATGTAATGAACATGGGCCAGCATAAGGCGGCGAGTAATATTGTTTGAATAATTAGGTTTTCATACCATTTACAAAGGAAAGAGAAAAGGATGACTCTTAATACATGCTCCCTTATAGCCAAAGGGAGAGGTTGCAATAACTTCTCGAATTTTCCACATTCACATGGCTTCTAATGGGCCTGCTTATTCATTCAACTAATCTTCACGATCATTTTCTTTATCTCCTGCAACAATGGTTAACTTCTAACTCTTTCTACAACAGGTTACAACCTCAACCTTCTGAGGCCACTCAAGAAATTATTTGCTGATATGTTATCCACAGAAGGAGTGGCACAGTGCCTGACCAATGGATTCGAGACAAACACCGCAACAGAAGCTACAACTTTAAAATAGCTACATCTATTTTAAAAATGACTATATAGCTTTGTAAAGTTATAGCGATATAACCCTGGTCACTTCACTGCTCTCTCTCCTTTCTCTCTCTCTCAGACAGGGAATTCTTGACCAGAGCTAAGATGAGGAAAGCCACATCTGTCAGCAGAGCATGAAAGAATATAATAAATGTTCACATAGAGAGGAATTGTCACATACTTGCATGTGATTTATTTTGGAAACATTTTCTTCAGAGATGAAGCCAGTTGTTAACACACAGATGAAAACTGTTAGCAATGTTACCATACATATGATTTAGAGGCATATGAATGCTGAGAATGCGCAGAGGTCAGTATGGCCTCTATTATCCAAGGTCCGGCCTGCCCACACTGAAAAATCCATTTCAAAGTCCATTTGTTAAATAGTGTGTCCAGAACATGGGGTTACATTACATGGCACTTGCTCAACAGAATGCACTGCATTGAGAAAGGAGAGCAAAGGCACAATTGTAATCTCTGCATTGGCAACATTAAAACGGGATGTTTATTCATTTTGCAAAACTATTTCTGCCCTCTTTGGTTTCACATGGGATTCAGTGTTAAAACAATGTATTAAATGCAATCTTTGTGCTGTGATCTGCTACAATACAGGCAACATTAATTGGGAAAACATAAGCATGATATTAAAAGAACAAAATTTCAGGGTTTATTGATATGTTTTAGCATATAACAGTGTTTGCTAGATGCTGTCTGGTATTCACTGGGGTTGTACTGAGAATACTGTTCTGTCATTTCCACATTTCTTTCCATACAGAAAGAAAAAAAATTGGAGTGGGACGCAGCAGGACAGAGCCATACCACCATCTGGGATGAGGCTGGTGGTCTTGCACTTGTTCTGAGGTGTTGTGTGTTGCAGGAATGAATGAAAGTGCTGAAGGATGCTGCTATGTATGTATTTGCTGCCCGCATGTTATACTGTCATTCAACATGCACTGCTATTACTGTCAGCCAGAATCTGTTGGACTAGAACCTGCAACATCCAGTTTGGATTATTATTATTATATATAAAAGGAAAAAAGCAAAGGAAAAGTAACATGAAAAAGAAAGAAAAAGATACCAATTGACCTTACATAATCATGATCATGATGATCATTTCTATAAATTTTGTAACTACAATTTTGACTTTAAAATATTTGGTTATTACAAAAGATAATACATGGGTATCAAGTAAATAAAAATACATCTTATAACATATCCCTTTCTGAATAAAGATTAAAATAGAAGTCAAACTGGAGATATGTAGGAGCTATTTGTGGTGACTTTTACCAATATGGACTGAATCTGTGAACTCTTTAGGAAGGGTGAATGATGGTGGAGAATAAAGGCTTCTGCCTTGAAAAGCACCTGATGCAAGTCTCAGAATTAAGAGGGCCTAGAAAAGCAAGGAAAATAGCCATTTTGAAGCCAGAGCAAAATCCTGCATCCAGCCAGAATTCAAGGCCAATGGTATCTTGAATTTTCTACACAAAACAAGTAATTGGCGATTACGTATTAGAAAAGTTGGTAACATTATTCAGCACTGAATGGGATTAACACTCCTGGTAATTATTATTGTTGGTCAGTTAGAGTGACTGTAACCTGTAAGGTGTTAATGACTTGCCATGGATATCTAGGTGTATAGCTGACCAACAGAAAAGGCCTGTTTGTACATCACAGTAGCTAACTGTGGCTTAATTTACCCATGGGACTACCGCATTGTACCGGAGGCCTGCAGTTGCCATTCTTGTGTTTTGTCATGTGAATGAACCCAGGCAGCAGAGCTTGTCTGAAGGTTGGACAAACCTCAAACAACCCTAAAACAAGCCATGGATTATTTGAGAATTGTCTAAACCTCAAGCAGCCTCTGCCACCATGGTTCATACTACAAGCCTTGGCAAGGAATGCAAAAAACAGCACCCATGATCACCTGGCATGATGTAACAGCCGTGAAGATCTGTCACATCACACGAACTAAATCATGTGGTTTTTATCAACTGTTTGCCGTGTCTGGAGAACAAAGTGCAACTACATCCTAAAATCTGAATATAAGTTAGAGCTTGCATAAATATGACACCTTCAATTTCTCCCCTGTAAAATATAGCATACACAAAGCAAACATTAGAGACCAAACTCCCATTTAAAGGCAAGGACAGGCTTTCGACACACTTTAAAACAACTAATAAGCCCTTTAATTAGTTTTTCACCAGGATGGAAGGTATAATTTTTTACAATCACAAACATTCCTGATATGCAGGGAAGAAAAAGGAACCATTTGGAAACAAAACTATAGGCTAACTTAATAAGTAACTTGAACAGCCTCTCCACCTCAACGTGTCCATCAAGCAGCACCTTTTCACCATGTAAAGCTAAGTTAATGCTAATAAAGCAGATGAGAAGCAGTGTCTAAAGCTGTATCTTTTATTGGATAAAAGAGACTGTAAGCTTTGAGCTTCACAAAGCTCTTCTTAAGACAGAAAAAAGGGTAAATATGATTCACAGCTTGTAAAATACACAAGCAAGCAGCAGTGAACTTTTTCTTAAGTTGCTCTGAGCATTGTCCTGACAACCGAGCCCATCCATAAGGGATAAAATAGCAGGAGGTTATAATTACAACTATCAAACCATTTGGGTTTATTTAGTCCAAGTCTGAGTAATCCAGCACAGTTGGTTTAATTTCCAAATTGACATTTTAAATGTGTTGTGCAAGAAAGTGAGTGCGGAAGTCGCAAAGAAATACCCCTCTGCAAGCAATAAAGCCCATAAGGCTCCCCTGCCATGACTACATAATCGGCTTACTTCAATTTGTTACATGGTCAGCTTATGACAACATACAGCTTCTGGTTGCTTTCATTCTTATTTTTCCACAGTGCCTTTTCTTGAAGATTTGCAGCATCTCTAAGTATAAGCGATACTTTCTTAAAGAAATTGGTGGGATGGAGGGGAGAAAACAAATGTTTGAACAAGTCCACTGATCAGATGTGCAGCAATAACTGTTTTATTATAATTCATGTTTTTATGCTGGTCTAGCACTGTAAGCTGCCCAAGAACCTTTAGGTTGTGAGGTGGCATAGAAACGGAATTAAATAAACAAACCCCAAAGCTCCAAGTATTTATTTATTTACTTCATTTTATACTGTCCAATAGCCGATTCATAGCCAATGGTTCCTCACATCCAACAGGAGGATTCCTCATGTTTCGTCCCACCAGGTTGCAACAAGAACTGCAGAAGTCTGGACAGAAAAAATAGCTCTGGGAGGTTCTGACTTCAGTTTCCCTTGCAGTCCCCTCCCAAAGACCCTCCAGGTCTTGTACTCCATTTACTTCCAGACATCTTCTCATCTTTGCACACCTACAGACTGATTGAATCCATTTTGGACAAACCTGCTGAACATGGGCTTCATTGTGCCTTTCTTTAGTGTAAGGTGTGTTAAATTCAAGATAAAGGTGGACACTGGAGTTAATAACTGATCTCTGTAAAGTACAGCTTTCTTTCTATGTACTCCTGAAATCGGTGTGTGTGGGGACGGGAAGAGGGACCAGGGAAGAAAAAGGGCCATTCTGTCCTTTCTTCCAGGTGAAAGATGGACAGTTTCCCAGCTGAGTCACCTTGCCTTTTCCTCTCAGCTTGGACTCCATTCCTTCTCATGCTGGGAAAGCAGTTTGGAAAAAAACACAAGGGAGAACATTCTTATTGAAGCATTCAGATATGTCAAGACTCAACAGCTTGTGTTTAAGTCATCAAGCCAAATCCAACCAAGACAAATGCTTTCCTCTGTTAAAATCAGCTTATCTTTAGATTAACCCATTAGCCAACAACTATGATGAAAAGTATGTTAGGACAATAAAGGCCAAGCTAGACGGCTTAACAACAGTGACAATTTATGAAAAGCAAAACACAACACTGTCATATTTAGTTCCAGAAAGTGATTACTTTATTACAGGTTTGCAAAAGCTTCTACAAAAGTCACAGACTCCAATCAGAATTTGCTACATGGCTGTTCACATGGTGATCAGTGATCAATAAAGAAAAGCCATTTGTTGATATAAGTTAGTAATACCTGTTTTCCATGCACAGGACTTCATTTTGGAAGTTTATGGCACAAGAACTGTTCTCCTTAAACACCTTTCACTGCATTAAAAAAGACTTCAATCATATTTACTCTAATGACATCATTAGCTTAAATAAAAGCCTCAACACAAGAAGAAGGCTAGTTTACTTACATATTGATCAGCTGGATTCTAAGGTTAACTTGTGATAACATGCAATATGCTAAATATTTTCCAGCAAACATATCTAGTGCCAGCTGGATAACAGATATTAAAAGGCTTTTCTGCTTATTTTAGTTAATGCTTTGCATCTGTAAGCAGATTTTCTTCATAGTCACCCATTAATTGTAGCACGTATGTTCCTGCGTAGAGAAGAAATTGTCCTGTTGCTTGGGCAACATGTGACAGAAATCGAAGAATTCTCCTGCAAAGATGGCAACAGTTAACTTAGTAATTGTACACACTGCACAAAAGCACGCATGCACACACGCTCTCCTGCTTCTGGCTATGCACAATGTATGCCAGCAGAGTCTGGAGCACAAAAGCTTTCCTCTGGATGTATACTTGTCTTCAGATTGTGCCTGATGTACTTGAAAGACTGTCACAGAGAGGAAGGCCAGGATCTCTTTTTGATCCTCCCAGAGTGCAGGACATGGAATAACGGCCTCAAGTTACAGGAAGCCAGGAAGCATTTCATGGGTGTTAGAGCAGAACAACAATGGAACCAATTTCTAAGGGAGGTTGTGGGCTCTGCAATGCTAGAGCATTCAAGATGCAAATGCACAGCCATCTGAGAGGGATGGCGTAACATGGTGTCCTGCAACAGCAAGGGGTTGGACCCGATGGCGTGCATGGCCTCTTCCAACTTGTCCCTTCTGTGATACAGCAGCACATGCTATGGACTGCCATCATGTATTGGGTTCCTTGCTGATGCATCATTGGGAGATTCTTAGCTGAACTGGGCTGCTTCCCAGATTTTACTCTTCAATAATTATGAAGGCTTGTGCACATTTTCACAGGGAAGAATTGTGCTTATGAGACTAATATCTCACTCTACCCTGAAACTCCTGCATTAGGCTATTTTAGTAACAAGATAAGATCCATTGCAAGAAGCCAGCACTGATGCATTACTTTACCTGGCACATCCCAGGTGCCTACTAACCAGACATTTACTTGGGCAATTTGACCTTTCATGGCCTTGCAAAAATATGCATTCTAGGTTATGTTTTAGAACACACCATCCTAGAACTACAGCAGTTGCACTTTCCTTGCATCTTAGTTCAGCACAACTGGAAATACAAGATAGTTTTGTTCCTTCTATTTAGAGCCAAGCTAAAAATTCTTCTAACTACACCTCATGATTCAATCTGAGACCACTGCACTCTGGGAGAAAGTTTTTACGCTTCCCATTTCCCCTAAAATTCTACACACAGATGAAGTAGAAAGGGGGGGGGGATGGGGTCAAAGGAGGTTTTTGTTTTTTTTACTGTATGGGCAATTCTGAGGGGAAAAAATGGTTGCAGAAAGGTTTAATATTCCCTCCCAGAGCTCTGTGCCCTGCTCTGACTTCAGGCCACACAGGCTTGCTGAGTACTAATTAAAAATATTGTGCACAGTATTTAAAAAATCCACTGGGTGTTATTAGGCAAATGCTCCATTTGACCCTTAAAATCTGAAGTCCAGCACTCCTAGAGACATTGGTTTATCAGCTAGGACAGGCTTTCAAGCTGCAGACACTCTTGGAAGGGTGCCCTCAGCTTCGACTGGAAGATTACTGGAGCAAGGCTTGTGGCCCGTGCCTCTGAGCTGCTTTAGAGTGGACCAGTGCTTTAAACATGGATGGCAGAACTTTGACTCTATTATATTTAGAAAAAACTGCACTGCACCTTTTTTAGGTCACAACCCAATTCAGACCAATACAGTCTTTCAAACTATAAATGACCGGAGGTCCAGATACTTGAAGGGGCACCAGCTTGCTTGTGTTTCCAGATCATCTGCTGATGATCTGTTGTGTTTCCATATGCACATCTATTCCCCAAGGCAAACTGAATGCCAGTTAGAGATGCCAGCAGTTGCAACCCTGTTATGAAGTCTGCTCCCCAAGGAGACTCCCCAGGCACCAACATTGTTCTCTTTCAGATGTTTAAGATGTTGCATAATGTAGTGGAGTTCTGTGCTTGTGTTTATACGCTGCCTTTATTCTGTTAATGTGTAATATTGCTGTGTTTGTGCACTTCTGAACAGTCTTAGAATTTTGATGAAAGACAATAAGCATAGGGTTTTTAAACATTTTCTATTAGCAACTGGAAAAGCTAAGAGCCAGTGTGGCATAGTGGTTAGACTGTTGGCATGGGGACTCTAGGAGATCAGGGTTCTGGTGCTCATATAATCATAAAGTTCAGTGGGTGAGTTTGGGCCAGTCACGGGCTCTCAGTCCAACCTCCCCAACAGGGCTGTTGTTAGGATAAGTTTGAGCTATGTACCCCACCTTGGTTTTCTCACAGTGTAATAACAGTACCATGCTGAATACCAAGCTAAAATGTTCCTTATGCTTTAGAGGCAGTCCTAAGTGTATATTTTGTCATAAAATTCTCTTGAAGTCCTCTGGCCTCCTATCTCTTTACAGAAATGGTTAAAGTAAGTTATTGACTAAGACAAATGTCACCATACTCCTTCATGTTCTGGTAAGATCAGGTCAGTAGTCTGCCTTAACAGGTCAAACATACTCTTTCCAGAGAAAGCCACTGCCCCAACCTGACATATTTCTCTATTATTATTATTACATTTTTATACTGCCCATAGCCAAAGGTCTCTAGGCAGTTGACAGCAATAATCATAGAATCATACACTCAAGTCACCCATCCCACTTCTGCCCAGGCCTGATGCTGCTTAGCTTCCAAGATTAGGCAGGCTCAGGCACCTCAGGCTACATGGAAGCTACGTGCTATAAACACGACAGAATTTTTCAGTAGTACTTCCTGCTTACTTAGACATTTGTAAGTCCCCCATGATCATGCAAACAGTCTTGCCATTGGATTTCAGCAATAGAGGGCAATAAAGTTGGTTTTCATGTATAAAAGTTATTATATTATAATAAAGTTGCTTTCTTGTCATCTGTAAAATTCTCTGCGCTCTATGCCATGCATAGACAGAGAAAGACAAAGAGAGATGCAACGGCGCACATGTACACGTTTATCCCTTCTAGGATCACCCAAGGAACCTGAATGGTAGAAGGCTAAGGACAGACAGTGCTGCGAATGGCGCCAACCACCGCTCTTGGCGGGCATCCTAAGGTCAGCATTACTGAGATTCTGAAGACAAATGGGATCTTGAGAAATCAGAGATTGGAGACAGAGGCTTTGAAGCACTTGCGAGTTTGTCGCCCACAGGTTTCCAGGCTGATTGATATTTTGACATTTTGCAGCCTAAGGTCAAGAAGGGGAGAGCAGGGCTCATGATAGAGGTATTTACATGTATTTAGATTTAGCTATCTACCAATTTAGATAGCTGTAATCCTTTTAAAGTACTACCCTCCAGGATCAGAGGAAGCACACTTCTGGCATTTCTTAGGATCTGATATTCAGAAGAGAGGGCTATCGTCCTCATGTCAAACTTGTGGTCTTCCTTTTTTGCATCTGGTATGGCCTCTTGTTACTTATGGTAGCCAACTTGATGGACCTCTGTTATGATCCAAACAGAGGTTGTCTGAACTTTAAGATAGGAAGGAGACTCAATTTAATGCAACTGATATACTATAATAATTCCCATTAGTCCTCCATACTTGGCATTTGCTAGATTTCTGACTATGCAACTCACGGTAAAAGAATGAGCAATGGTTTCTGTTAGAACACACTGGCTTAGTTTGTATGCTGCATGGTTACTAGAAATTCATCCTTACCGTAGCACAATCTTTGCTCCCATACACTTGATGTCATAGGACACAGAGTAGATTTCATAGAAAGTAGCTTTGATGTTTAGACACCCAATGAAGTCCTTCGGGTTCAATTTGTACAAGTCAAATGTGATATTTGCTACCCCCATTTTCTTTGGCTGCTTTACTTTTGCGATCCCATAGTCCGGCCCCTAGATAAGAGGAAAGAAAATGCATGAAATACTAAATGTGCACCATTTGCATTCATGAAGTTCTGGAGAAATGGACAATTCACTCTAACAGATGAAGGTGGCAGGTATTTCATACAGAGTTGCTGTACTGAAAGTGATATGATGTTACAATGAAGGGTTGAAACAATTATCATCAATGAGTCACTGCTGTTCATGACCTGATTAGATGCTGAACTACAAGTAAACTACAAAAACACGTTGCTAATTAAGCTTTAAGACCTTTGGGAGTTCACAATTCCTGAGATCTACTACAGACTGTACTTCTGCCTGGGAAATACCATTCTTAAATATGAGGTGAATGGTGGCTTTTCTACAAAGAGCACCACTGGAAGAGACAGAAAAAGTTCATGAGACATAAGGATAGTAAAGGATGCAAAAGGAATTTAGAAAGGGAATTCCTATGGGTCAATGAAGCAAGAATCAGGGTGCAGAATTGGCAATCCTATGATAAGCTGTTTTACAGAATTTCAGGAATCAGTTTGAATGAACAAGAATTAAGAAAAGAGGTCAGGTGGACCCTCTGCTACATTGCTCTACGGACACTTCAGCAGAGCCTGGGAGCATTATGTTGATAACTGATTCTCTTCTCAGCTTATGCGTACTGAAGTAACAACACTGCCCTCTGCAAGTTAAAATTTCCTCTGCAGGTTGCAAGCCAGGCCAGGACCCATCTTGGCTTGGCTAAGGTCTTCCCTCTGAACAGAGGTTAGCTTGCAATGGCAGACATTCTCAACACAAAAGCAAGCAGGTGTGCTAAACTTGTTGTTTGTGCAATCTTCTGCTTTAGAAAGTAACACTTACTGGCTTCCATTTCTGACCCTGCACCAGAACCATGAAGTGTGTGTTGTCTCCCAGGGACTGGAAGAAGTCTTCTGTATCTACTACTGTGCCATCTTCCTCCAGAACCAGTGTTATTATTCCAGTAGTGATTATTAAGGCATCCAATGTCTAAAATGAAAAGCAGATCTAAGATAAAAACCTTGAGGAAAGTCCTTTCTTTATACCCACACCTCAAAATAAGATACCTTATGGTATAATCCTGCAGGATGCCCCCTTGATGCCCCCTCACACCTCCAAACATGAGGCCTCAGTGCACGGCAGCTCAATAAGAGGTGTTTGCCACTTCCTACTGTATAACTCTGATGACTGGTTTCAGCCATCTAGCTTCAGACAGGGAGAGAAAGAGGGCAGAATGCCATTAGAATACTTCGTCTCCCTGCCAGCCAACCTCTTTTCTGAGGTCACTTCCCACCTCAGAGAAGCAGCTGGCATGGTTCTTTCCATGATGACTGCCAGAGGTGGAGAGAGAGCTGAAGATGGATCTTTGGTTCCAAAGATCTTCAGGAATACAAGCCAGCACTCATGTCTAGCGGTTCTAAAGCCACTACACTTCCAGGAAAAGACACATTACTGTGACTTTTAGTAGTTGCTATTTCCTCCAACACCATAAAAAGATTCATCTTCTATTATCCAAAGAACCTGAACAATAACATTTATACTCCTCTGTTACTGAAAGATTGAAGTGAAGAGTCACATAGAGGATTCCCAAGTATTCTCCCATCCAGACACTGACAACAGCTCGATGTGCTTAACTTCAACACAGTTGGTGATCCATGTGTCTTCAAGTATGCTCTGGGGTATCCAGTGATGTGAGTTTGTGCCATCTCCTATTTTGCTAACCTGGCTTAGCCAGGGCAGTTGAAAGCCATCACATGCCATGGGATAGTGGGCTTTAGACTTACTGGATTACTTTGTTCACTCAGAACTCCAAGGCCTACACCAAGTTAATTCAGATCCAAAATTTTACGTTACACAATATACATAGTGACTCAGGAATATATTAAGAACCAAGAAACTAGGTAGCTCCCAGTACATGCTCAGCCCAAGAACTTGGGATTAGCACCAGAAGCAGGCCCACAAATCCTTCACTGAAAAGCCCACTCTTGATTTTCACCTAAGCATGTTTTCTTGGCAGCATCATTTAAGGGGAAAGTTTTCTCTGCTGCATATGAGAGTCGGAACCCCATGATGATCTAATGCAAATCACCCAGAGTGCTACCTTTTATACACACCTGCTCTGCACCTTTGATTTCTGAATGCAAGGGGACATGTGAGGCGGATCTCCACGGTTCTGCTCCACTTGTTAAGCAGAAAAGACATCTTAGCATCCATTGTTGCTACTGAAGCAAACAGTGTAACTCAATTCAAAGCTGAGAAGTAAGAAAGGTACCCTAAACCAGGCGCAACCATTCTGCCTTCAGGGCTGCATGCAATGCTGGCTTGGGATCTCAGAGTACTACAAAGGTGTGCTAGCTATCCCAGATTGCTCTTGTTACAGTGAGGAACGAGCGAGGAAAGAGCGAACCATATTAGGAGCGTTGGGTGAGGGAATTTGGTGGAAACATCAGGGGCAGGGGCCCCTGTGAAGGACTATAATGCAGACCACCATGAGGATGGTGTCTGGTCCACAGGCTATGGTTTGTATGCATTTGCTCTGAGGAGTCCGAGCAGAGCTCTTTCCAGTCAGTGATCTGGACTTGAGAACAGAGGTAGAGGTTTGAGAAAAGATGTTCAAGCAGATTCAGGTTCATGCTTATGCTCTGAAGGAGAGGCATACCTTACTAATAAGCTCCTGCAGACTGCCGGCAACAACTCCTCTGCGATTGCTTCTGTCATGGTTGCAAACACGGAAGGGCCGGGCTACAGGTGGAAGGGGAGCAAGCAGGGTCTGTTTTGTTACTGATCCCACAGATGCTCCAAGAGATATTAGAGAACTAGAAGAGAAAGAATTATTATTTATTTATTGTTTTTATTTATATACCATTCAAGAACCATACAGTGCTCCCAGAATGGTTCCCAAAAAGCAATGGTTTATAATATCATTAAAAGCAATGAAATAGACACTTACATTTAGTTCAACGTGCCTAATCTATGGCAAAATTTTAAACTGAGAAATCCATTGTCAATGTGCAATAGCACCACGCCAGCCAAAAGATTTGCCCAGACGAAGAACAACTAATACATTTCTAAATGTGTATCTTCTTCCAACAGGTGTTATTCTCATATAACCCCAGTCCTCTATCAGCTCCATTGGCTTCCCATTGAATTCCAGGCTCAATTCAAGGTGCTGGTTATTACCTATAAAGCCCTAAATGGCTTGGGACCAGGATACCTAAAGGAATGCCTTTTTCCCTATTTGCCCTCCCACCCCTGAGATCGGCAACAGAAGCCCTCCTCCGGGAACCCTCTGTGAAAGATGCTAGGAGACAGAGTACCTGGAGGAGGGCCTTCTCTGCGGTGGCGCCCCAACTATGGAATGCGCTCCCCAGAAAGGTTCGCCTGGTGCCGTCATTGTATGTTTTTCGGTGCCAGGTCAAGACCTTTTTATTTGGCCAATATTTTAATATGTTTTAATATTCTGAAATTAAATTAATATTCTTAAATATTGTTGTATTTTATTAACTTGAAACCAGAGTGGGTTGTCAATTTATTTATGTTGTAAGCATCCAGAGACACAAGTAACTGGACAGCATACAAATTTTATAAATAAAAAACAGCAACAACTAAGATTAAACTTGAGGGAAGGAAAGTATTGGCATGACAGCCCAAAGCAGTCACATAAGTGATGGGTCAACAATTTTGATCTCCAGCCTACATATGCAACAGAACTTAATCTCTAGTGAATCTTTGGATTCTTACTGATACCCACTTTGGTTCTGAAGAGAAAGCCTTATTGCTGAAGTTTTCATATATTGCCTTTACACTCTAGACCTAATATCTGCCGAATGCAGGACTTGAACAGCCTGGCATGATGTTTTCTGCTCTTCAGTTCCCTAGATCAGCAGAAGTCACATTTCTCTTTGCAGAGCAAGATGGGAATGAGAGCAGTTTGGGCACAATGCCAAGCACAGCTGGAAAAATGGATTGCCAGAGGGGGATTTGTCAATTTCCAAAATAGCTACCTCATTACAAAACACTTATTTCCTGAAAGATAAATAGGTGAGAGGCTAGGAGACAAGTAACTTGCCCAAGAACCTAAATATAACACATAGCTGGGAGCTAAACTCCAGAGGACAAACCACCGCTTCGAATCCAAAAAGGACTGCACTGAAGTACACCCTAATTAAATAAAAAAGTTAATAAAATATCACAAGGCTGGTGGGCACCACGCTGCAGAACTCAGACTTGCAAAAAAGCCCACTGAATTCAGTGGGGCAAAGTGCCACACGCCTAGGATTGCAGCCTTATGACACAATACCCTTGTCAGCAACTGTTTTGCAAGAAGAACCATGTTAGTCTGAAGTCAGAGATACAGTGCTGTCCCCCTTTCCTATGGTCCTTTAGGCACTCCATTTAAAAGAGCTCCACAGTGTGTAAAGCAGAATTCCACGAACTGAAGGTGCAACCCCAGAGCCTGCTGGTGCGACCGGGGGTTATTTGGGGCCCCAGCTCTGGGGTTCTGCAACCCTGGAGCTGGGACTACAAACCAGGACCCCTCCCGCCCCACCCTCTTTGTAGCCAGCATGGAATGAACTGTTCTGGGAGTGTCTGAGGATGCAAACTGGCCATGGAGATGGTGGGGGAAGGGGTGTGATGGGGAGGCAGGGAGGGAAGAAGGCTGGGGGCTGCATATGTCCAAACGGCATCCCAGCATCCTTCCCCTCCCATGATGCTTCATCAAGAGAGCCAAATGTAGAGTGTAAAGCACCTGCTACTACCAGTGTCCCTTATGCTCTGCATTGGATGCACATACAGGCATTGAAGGTGAAAAACACTGGATGGTCTCCTTCACAGTCATTTGGCCAAGACTTACGGAACAGGGGTTTGCACAAACTTCAGTGCACTTCAAACTATAAAGGGTGCCTGGTTCCTGTGACATTTATTTCTGGAAGGTCTTTGATTCTCTGGAGGGTTTGCAAACTTACAGAAAAAATGATTTTGTGAACATATTAAAAGATTATCTGTGGCAAGAGTCACCAGTGCAGAAAAGCCAGTCTGATGTCAAAACCACAAACTGAAGACTAAATTGTATCACATCTCACAACTGAACTAGCCTGTCAGCTTTAGCACTGTGCTCTGAAAGATCTGAGACTGATGGTCAACATGTTTACCTGGAAGTAAGTCCCACTTATTTCAGTATAGATTTATGTAAATACATCGTGCATTGCTCTGCTTTTAATTTTTTTTTTAATTCTGTGGGCTGAAGTGTTTTCAGTTTTGCTTTGAGAGTCTTCAACTAAAAGGATGCAACTTAGAATAAATAAAATCTGCTTCTCCAGTTTTTTATTTCATCTAATATGCCCATACAAAAGCCTACCTTGATTATTAAAGCTTACACGGCCATTTCCACCATTCACCTTCACCAAGCGGAAGAGCAGGGCAAAAGCTCATAAGCAGTTTAAGATTTACATGGAAACCACACCCCACCCCCCACGCCACAAACACTCAGCAGCTTCCAGACGCACGTTGAAGACTGGGCCGCTCTTTACAAGGATTCATGACAAGTGCAGCTTCGGCTGCATCCACAGGACAGTTAAGCGCGGCTACAGACTGGCAAGGAACCCTAAAGTTTCCAGAAATCCTACGAGAGAGAGACTCGCAGAAATACAGCACGATAGGTTAAGAAAGAGCAGGGCATCTTTCCTCGCAGGCCAGTCACGTCGAACGTTCTTCGGCTTACCGTGTCCTAGGTACTGAGCGCGCAAAAGTTGATTGTCTCGCCTTCTTCATAATAAATCAAAGTATGCTAGGAAAATCACTGGGTAAAAGCGAAAACCGAGCCTCTCTGGGAGACGTGCTACTAAAAGCAACCAGAAAACGCATTGCCTAGACAAAAGCACGGCAACGCCAGCCGGCAGTAGCGACCCTTTCGGCAGGGAAACACCGACCCCTTTCCTGCAGGGGGGAAAACGCCCCGCCCGGACCGGGCGAGCCACGCCAGCTAGCCAGCTGGTCAGGACCTCGGAGCCTAAGAAAGGTGGAAGAACAGCAGGAGATGCCATATGGCAGTTAGGGACGGAAGATGCTTCCCAGGCGGGGGAAAGGATTCAGGAGCGGATGCTGGAGTGCAACAGCCATGCATCCCACACGGGTTTGCTTAGCGATGATGAGCTTAATTGTAAAAGTGCGCCTAGCGGCGACTTCCCGTCTCCGTGCTCGCTCCAGGACGCGCGCAGGCGCCACCCTGTCCCGGGGCCCTTGCGCCTATCCTAGAGAGCAGAAACGGAACAAAAGGGCGGCGGCGGCGGCGGCTGAATCAGTGCCTGCCCTTGGCCCTGCGCCCCGGCGTGAGTCGGAGCGCCCCGGGCCGTTCCGGAGGCCGGAGCGGGAAGATCACTCACCGGTACAGAACCACGGCGCAGTCGCGAGCGCTCTCAAGGGCCATGGCGCACGGCGGGCGCCCGCGTCTCCTCCCACTCCGCAGCTGCGCGTCCAGCCCCGCAACCCCACCCGGCCCTCCTTATGAGGCGACGAGCCCCGCGGAACCGCCCCTCGAGGCGTGCCCGGGGAGGCGCGGGCGGGGGCGCCACTTCGCTGGACCGGGCCGGGGCGGCGGGCGCGCTAGCGGGCAGCCCGACAGCCCGGGAGAGCGCGCTGCATTACGCCAAAGAAAGGAGGGCGTTTAATGGATGTGCAAGACGTCTAAAGGTCAACTTTTGTCTTGAATGTTTTTTGTTAAAATAAGGGGGCACCCGCCCCCCCGCACTACTTACAAGCCTGTACCTGTCTATACAGGTAAGAGATGCTGCTAGAAGTCCCGGGGACTGGAGTAGCTCCCACCAGCTCGAGAGGTGTCCCCACTCGCACTCTGAATGACCCCCAAATGTGTGATCAACTAAAGCTCCTATATCTTTTTTGTGTGTTGTTGCCAGGCGGGGTTCTCTTCCACCCTTTACTTATTCCTTTGAGTGTATTTAAATTAGAGCCTAGCATTTATCTGTTGAAATTCTTCTGGTTTGGCTCAGCCAACCTGTCAAGATGAGTTTAAATCTTGTGTAGTCTTAGCTATCCGACCCAGCGTTGTGTCAGCTGCAAATTGTGTAAGTACCCGTTGAACTCCTTTGTTTAAGTCATTTATAAAAATGGTGATCAGTACAGAGCCCAGGGGTACATTACTCGTATATTACTCATGACTTCCTCCATGTTCATACAGTGTCCTTAGTAATGCAGAACCATTTTAAGGTGTGGTTAGTTTCATCAGCTGTGAATCCACCTAATGGTAGCATCATGCAACCTACATTTTGCAATCTTGTCAAGAAGACTATTATGAGAGATGTTATCAAACACTTTACTGGAATGAAGATATACCATGCCTGTGGCAACCCATCATATACAAGACCAGTGAATATCAACAATGGAGAGAAGGTACCCTGCACCCCTGTATATATTTGCAAATAAACACCTTTTTAAAGAAAACATACAGTGCCAGCATTCTCATATTCAAAAGGAAATGGAAACCTTGCAACATTCTGTTGCTCGGAGCAGGAGCGTAAATAGGTTTTACCCTCCTCTAAAGTCCACAAAAACTGTTTCATCAGTGGAATAATATCTTCTGATACAATCCAGTCTCTTGTGTTACATGATAGGCAATAGTGGTTTTGAAAATGCCCCCCACAAAAAAAGGATTAAGGTGAACCAATATTTCAATAGGTTCTCTTTATTATTACTGCACCAGGACTACCAGTAACACACTTATGAATTCATTTTTACCCATTTTTATGGATGTATGTCACAATATCCATTAATTGGATGCTTGGATATGTATTTAATATGCATGCCTTATCAGTAGTTAGTTGATCTATACATTTTAAAAAGCTATATTATGTATTAAATCTAGTCAAAAAGCAAACACTTAAGGATCATATTAAAATATAAAATATTTTAGCATCTTTTACCTGCTCTTTTATTGCTTTCTTAATAATGTTCAGTGTGTGGGCTTACATTTTATGTAATTAAAAACAGTTACATTTATGAGTTTAAACAGAAGGAAGCAAGGGAGGATTAGCCATATCCTTTGCCATTCCTCATCTTAAAATTGTGCCTTGGGATGCCTTATGCAGGAGTATTTACTTTCTCTTCTTTTAGGATGGCTACTGGGTTAAATCTAAAAAGCTAGAGTATCAGTGACACCATCTGGTTACTAATATTATGACAGTAGCCAAAATGACATGCTACAGACATGTCCTTTAAATTATTTCTGCATCCTTTCTTGTATGAACAAAGGAATGTTCACTTAAGCAAATAAAATGGATACTGAACACTAAATAAAATGTTTAATAGAAGTTAAAGTTAGAGTAGCAGATTTACAAAAACATTAACTTCCCGTCACACCCCAACAACTGAGCTTTAAATGATCAGTAATCATGGTAGGATCCATCAGGTCAAGTAAAATTCACCTGCAGAGAAATTGACCAGTACTGAATTTCTCACCCGATTCCCCATTACTATGTAACATTATTCAAATACATACTTAAAAGGAGTGCTTTTTTTGTAAGAAAAACAGTGCCGGAACTCATGAAAGTATTTACCTTTCGCACGTAGTCAGTCACTGTGCACACACCCACACACATCAGTTGTGTAACGAAACATAATGGTCACCGCCCGCAGTAAGCACTCAGCGGGCGGCCACACCAATCACAAGCCGAGCAGCGCCATCACAACCAGCGCAGACAAAGTACGCATGCATCGAATTCGACACACAAACAGCCCGCCTGCACCGTTTTAATGATTTTGCCGCCGACCTGCTACGCTCGACAGGGCGATTCGAATCCACGTGGACCAAACATCAAATTTTCAAAAGTTACTTTTAAAACTTGGAAAATCTGTCGAAAAAAGGTGCCAGAACGTTCCGGTGCGTTCTATGGCAAAAAAAGCACTGCTTAAAAGTATTACACAGTAACATGTTGCACTTTTCATCTTCGCTGAGAAATGAAATGGCTGATTCCCTTAGATGGTAACACTGGTTTGCAAGAGTTTGCCAGAATTCCTGACCACACAACAGATACAACTGTGCAATAAAATCTGACCCTTGGTTTACTCAGTAGAGTAGTTGACAGTCATCCTTATATTAAAAACATCCCCTTTTTAACACATACATAATCAACAAAAGTCCTGCATTACCTTGAAGACTAACAAATCTATTCTGGCATAAGCTTTATGCACAGTATTCTGCTTCATTAAACTCATGGAATGTACTAGAGAATATCACCTATATTAAGGTGTTATTACAAATTTCATAATGTATCTGTCACTGTCAGTACTTTCTGCATTAGTTTCTTTCTGACTTCACTGTTTACAATTTTCCCTCCATTACGACTATACATACACCTGAACCTCATAACACTCCATGTTCCTAAGGACATGGGCTTTAGCACACAAAAGCTTATGCCATAATACATTTGTTGGCCTTTAAAGGAGTCCTAAAACTTTGTTGTTTTTGCTGAACAGATTAACACGACAACCTTCTGGAAACAGATGGAAAATCAGAATTCACAGAACAGATGCCTTCAGAATAAATTTGACAATATGCTGGCCAGGAAATAGAATGCATGTTCCATAGTTTTTGGATTCCTCTCCTTGCCATATATTTCAGCTATTTACTTTTTTTAAAGTGCAAGAGGTCCATTGAGTCAATTAAGTGAACACTCTCCTCCCCCTGTTAAAAAATTTAACCATTAAAACCCCGCACTGAGTTAGGTGTTGTAATCCATTTCCAACCCATGTTTGGTCAGATGTCTTTTGCTGTAAATACAAAGAACATGGTTGCACAGCGAAACAAACATGGCAAGTCAATTCCAGTGGTAAAAATAATACATATTTGTACTCATACTATGGCTGTGATCCAAGTGTGTAAGCACATCATGGTTGGGCGCTCCCGGTTTTTCTTTTAAGAGGAAATATTGCAGAAATTTGTAAATGTCTATCTACAAAGAGAACAAAAGCCCCAGCATATTCTAAGGCTGCACCGTAGTTCACAATTTAAATTCTGGATGGATATCTGAAAGAGGCTAATAATCATAAATGAAAAACATGGCTTTCCCAAAGTCTACCCAGTGAGCACTATGCCTGAGTAGAGACTAGAACCCACATCTCCTGGGTCCCAATCCAACACTTCTACCTTAATGCCACACTGGCTCTCAGGGACAGCACCTAACGGTTTCATTCTGCAAACTCAAACACCAGAGCTCTATGGAATCTTTCTGTTGCACAGCGGTTGTAATTATGGTTGGGGACTTGTGGTTAATTGTGGTTGAGGATACCAGTTGTACAACTGTAATACACAACAGAATGCACAAGGGTGATGTACAATCCCTTGTGCAAATAATTTAGTTGGATTTTCCTTTTGCACGTAATTCAGTTTCCCCTACTGCAATGCCATTAGCACTAGTGCAATGACATCAGTAATTAGGACTTCTAAGTAAATTCTCAGGCTAAAATTGCATTTCTTATTAGTAACATTCCAGCACTGCTTTCACCTGCACAGGCCAAACCATTTCGAAAAATGGTGTGCCCTGTTTTGTATTAAAGAAGGTCTTTAAGATTCCAACTCATACTATCAGTACTTTCTGCATTAGTTTCTTTCTTCATGCTATTCTGACTTCATGTGCTCTCTTCAAGATACTGTATTTGCAGTGAAGCACATTCCCATGCTCTTGCTTTGTTACTGAAAAATGCAAGTCTCAAAAGTCTTGGGCTAACCTTTAAGTGGTCTTCTTCAACTTGCTGCCCTTCGGAAATTTTTGTCTCAACTTGCCTTAGCTCCACCCAGCATGCCCAATGCTCAGGAATGCTGGAAATTTTAGTCTAAAGCATATGAAAGTTGGGAAAGGGTACAATATTGACCAAGTGTCAACCTTGGTTGCTATTTTAGAAATTGTAACTTTTATTGTGAATGAGAATAAAATAAGTACTAGTACTCTCCCATGGCTAACACAAACTACTGTCACCTTTTCTAATTATATAACTAACTGCATGTTGGACACTTAGGTTTATCTTTCTGGCCTATTTGGTATAACCAGGGACCAAGGCAAATGCCATGACTTGAACTGCTGATAAGAATTGTCTTGTCCAATTCTCTGTTGGTTGTATTTTATCATTACTATAACTTGTAGCAGGGACTTCTGTAAGTTATTTACTATGTGAAACTACATTTCTAAAAATTACTGCCACCCAGTTTAACTGGATAATGAAAGCATTTTGGCACCCCCAAGAATTCTGGATAACAGGGTGTATTTCTTTACCTGCATTTATGCAGTTCTACAGCATACAGTTCCCTGTGAGGTAAAATATCTAACCTACCAGATTTTACAGTAGTACTTTACAGATCTGAATAAATTTAATAGAAGGCAGCTAACAATACCCAGTTTGAAACTGAACAGTAAGATTAAAAAGATAAGTTCATAATTTGTGTCAAAGTACTGTAAACTAAGACACAATTAAATGGAAATTCATATACTTTTGAGACTCAAGTTCTTTGTATGTTGTAACAAAAGACTCCTTACCATGCACTACTTGAACACTTCATGCATACAAAATACTTAGTGCTACAGAATAGCACAGTTTGTTGCAATTTTAGCATTTTGATTGCCAGGTCCTCTCTACTATATGTAATTTTCCAGTGGAAAACTTTCCTATAAAGTATATACAAGGAAACTGTACCAAGGTTGTTAGGAGAATTGGCTTCCATTAAAAAGGAAAAAACCCCTACTGTTTTTAAAAGCAGTAATTAAAAAAACAACAAAATAAATTAGCAATGCACTTTGTTCTAAATTTCCGGTTAATTGGTGCCTTCATCTATCTTTAATCGAAAGCCAAAATTCATAGTTAAATCGGGGTGGATTAATCTATTAATCCCACCAAAACTGCCAATGGAAAATGCTTAAGCCTTCCCCCTACCATGTGACATGATCCCAACCCTGAATAGCACCTGCACAGTTATTATTAAAAAGAAATTAGATGGAATGGAAAGAAAAAACTCATGCACTCCACAGTCCTGTGCATATTTACTCAGAAGTACAATTGTGATTCCAATATGATCTCCCCTCACTCTGCCTTCTAAGTGTGCATAAGAAAAGCATTTTATACACTTCAGTTGCTCTAACTACATAAGCCTTTTACCCACGCACCTACAGCATTTTTGAAAAGTATTGCCTAGCATGCGATAAAAAATGAAATTACAAAATGTCTGATTTTGCCTCTGATCCCAAGTACTGAATGAAGGACTGCAGTCTTAACAAAACATGTAGCTTGATCTTAAGATACTGAGGTACAAATTAGGAAATTCCTGTTTGAATCTTCTATCCACCATGAATTTACCTGTTGACAAGTCACACTGACTTGAGTTCAGACAACATGATATTCATAGGTTGAGTATGGGTGGAGTGCAGGATGTTGTTCAACCATAGTTGTATTTGTGAATCCAGCTGCACTAACAAACCATGGCTTATTAACGTCAGGTAACAAATGGTATTTGTTAGGTAATGAACTGTGGCCTGGACTTCATGGTTTATTATTATGTCTGGGTAAAGACAATACAGTAACCAACATTTCAATCACTGACTATGATTCAGTGACAACCCATACTTAACCCTTGAGTATGAGTTGTGTTGTCTGAAGCCAGTCATGTGTCGTCTGAAGCCAATCATTCCCTCAGCTTCAGTTCCCTGAATCCATCTGCAAAATTAAGAAAATACAAATGTAGGTTGTAGTAACATTTACAAATGATATATGGGCAGTGCTTTGAATATTCTGAAGTGCTAGATAATTATTGAATTAGCAGTGCTTAAACATACACAACAGCGTTCCGTGCACCTCGGTGTTTAGTCATGCCGGACACATGACCATGGAGACTGTCTGCGGACAAACGCTGGCTCCCTCGGCTAGGAAACGGAGATGAGCACCGCCTCCTAGAGTCAGGCATGACTGGACGTAACGTCAAGGGGAAACCTTTACCTTTAAACATACACAAAGTCTCAACTTTTCAATATTTGTGCAACAGCAGTATATTATTATGGTTTATGATGATACACTAATTGTTTATTGGCACATCAGTTGTTTCAGACATTTAAGTGTTCTAGTGGCAAACTCACAAAGTTCTTTTCAAACTAAGGGGCTAGCATTTTAATGATCACAGAATGGTAAGAAATTAAGAAGTAAAAGATTTTCCAGTCATAAGGGAAAACAAGAATTAACAAGAATGAACGTAACTTGTTGTGGTTTTTGCCCACTCCCCTATAGCTGGCAAATGGCCAGAAGCAGAAGAGCAGTTGTCAGTGTTTTGAGTCTGAAGGCAAATTACTATGACCAATGTTCAAGTATAAAGTGAATTTTTAAACATTGAACAATTAAGTTAATCATCAATGATGAACATTGATCATCATCAATACACAAGAGACTATACTGAAATCAAAAGCCTGACTCATGTTGAGATCAGTGAGGTCATAAACATATGAATAGTCAATTCTTTTGATTCTGCACTTTTAGGACATTTCTGCATAACTGGCTAATTGCACAAAAAATACTTTCTTGTTGTGCACATTCTTCAGGTCTTTCTTCAAGATTTCACTTCTGCTGGAGATCCCACATTTTCCCAGCACTCAAATCACAACAATTCGTACTTGGAAAAATTGGGTATTTTACAAAGATGACACGTTCATTGCCATTACTATGTGGAATAGTTCCAAGGGAGCAATTCATAGGCACCTGTGTATTTTTATAAGCAATTAACAATGAGCAACAATGCTTCTATCTTATGGCTGAATTTCAATGTATGACTTATACCAATGAAAGGATTAGTTCCCACACTGGAGCTGTATGGTAGAAGCAGCACTCATGTAGCAGTCCCTTTATCACCATAATCAAAAACACTGCCATACAAAGGCTAAATTCCTGTAGCAGTGCTCATTAAAAACCCTTAGTATAAGCTATTTAATTATAATAGTTGCATGTTGCTTTTTTTAGTTCAAACACGGATATACTCAAAGCATGATACAGCTTTCACTCATTCATGTTCTTTGTGCCCTCCTTTATCTTGCATTAAAGACACACCTAGCCAAATAGAAGATGAACACATTCTCAGAAAAAGGAGAGGTCTATCTATGCAGCAAGAGGAAGGATAATATTTCTTGGGAGGAAATGGTGACAGGAACTTTGTAGCCCTAGATTGGTGCAACTGGCTCAGTCTTAAATCTTAATACTGTACAGAATAGACTTACTTAAAAGGATCATTAGTTTTAATGGTGCTTTATGTGTGTTTTAAGACAGGAAGATTGTCATGAGAGGCCATCTACATAAGATGGGATTGATGTCTATGATCTGGACAGGATGCCGAAATCAGTATTCCATCCCCATATTTACTGTGGAGAACTGCAGGTTTATATCAGTTCTAACAGCTGATGAGCAGGCAGTCCTTCCTGGCCATTACTGTTTGACACTGGGGGTATGGGTTCAGGTTGACTGAATGTTCTACCACTTTCGTGACCCCAAATGAAAACTCTGCATGCACAAAATTGGCAGGGGAAAGGCAAAGCCGTTCTCCCAGAAACACTGGCTTTTTAACTTGAGGGATTTTAATGCTATTGGTATGAAGAAGCATTCAATCATACAAGATTCTATTTGCAGCCCCAGCGGTACAGTCCACAGAAAAGTTTAGCACCTTATCTGCTGCTTGCGAGAACAAGCTTAGGTTATGTCTCTTTTGGTTTCCAGAATTTGATAGCCTAGTTCTTACTAAAATTGAATGAGGGCTGTCAAGGAAGAAAATCCACCACCATTTTCAGAATATTGGTTGGATGGCTCCTTTCAGTACATCATCATAGTGTGAAGCTGGAAAGTACAACTCAACTAATACCAGTGACCAGCCCTGTAAAACTCTGCAAGAGTCCAACATATCCTGATAGAATCCTCCTTCCACAGCAATGAAGCAAGTGTGGCAGTGGCCAGATTGTCTATGGTACTCTTCAGCTGCAAGCACAGGATTATACACTAGGTAATAAGTTAGTGTCACACGCAGTGCTAATATGTAAACTAAAGTAATCACACTATTGCATCATAGTGAATTCTTGTGTCATATGAATGTTTCCGGTCACTTCTCAACATCTGCTAAAATTCTGCTGTTTGAAGCTGATTAATTTTGAATTTTGGAAAAATACAGCTTTTCATCTTTTGATGAGCATTAATAGTACAAATTTACATTACTACTTATACAAGCATAAAACAGAGTTCAAGGATACACACCATCACCATGCTTGTGTGTACCATGGAAATGAATGTACTTATCTAAAGATTTGTTCAATACATGTACTTTTAAATTTAGAAAAAGAAGAACAACACTTTTTCTCAAGTACTGTTGGAGGAAGGTACTTTAGGCACACAGTTTAAAACTTCTTGTCCCTTTTTGTGGAACAAAAAACTACCTGAGATCTGAAAAAACAGTTTTGCTTCTAGTTGTATATGTTAACAAAAGATACCCCTCCACTTAAGCATTAAAGAGGCAACAAACACACTCAGTCTGGGATGCCCGTGACATTAAAAAGCATAGTTGAAATACATTCTCATTTAAAAGGTACCAAGAAGCTTACAAAAATTAAAAAGTTTCCCTCCACCTTCCTATAATGCCAGTAAAACCTTTTTGTAATACTGTTGCTATATAGACTGTAAAAGCACACACACCTAAACAATTTACCCTATAAACCATCCATTGCGAAGGAAGTGAAACAGGTCCAAAAGGAGAGGTGTCATGTTATTTTGAGAAGTATTTTAAGTGTGGTCAGTTCTCGTCATCTCGCCTATAGTGAATAGTCTGTATTTCCTGAGCTATGAATGAGGCCATCTCCTGGGTACCTGCTGCAATCACACGGCATGACATTAGGTCTAGAGGTCCACCTATGAAAGGAAAAGAGCATCTTAAAAACGTAATGTTCAAAATAATGTAAGACCTTTTGCCTATGTGGCAAACTCAAATCATTTGTTTAATATGTTGGCTGCATTTCTTTGGAATAAAGGAGCAAGCAGCGCTTCCTGGACAACAACCCACAGCAAATTTAAGAGCTGGTGCTGGTTGCAAGATTACAGGAATCGTAGCAATAGAAAAGTTTTTGAGGCTGTTCATTTGAACTAGAGAATAAAGGGAAAAGTCTCATACAAATAAGCCTTTTTATCCTCTGCTCTCTGTGCAGCTCCTACAGAAAGGCCTTGGATATGGGAGGGGGGAGACAGTAAGTGAAAATCAGCTGGAGAAACCTTGCATATATAACTACAGACAGAACCTTATGTCTCCTCCTCATTTCCAAAACTTCATTTTCCCTTGTCTTTCAGCATTCAACCTCCCTGAAACAATGGATGACTCTGCCACTGATATTGCAATCCAGAGTATCCAAAGCATGCCTGTCATGTATGAGAAGGCAGAAAGCAGTGTCATGCACGACGTTCTGAGCACGACGTCCATACTCCCTCCTCCTGAAAAATGCATTTGCTTACCTGAAGTATCCATCACAACACCACCTGCCTCTCTGATAATAACAGTTGCTGCTGCCAAATCCCAGCAGTGCAAACCAAACTGGTAATATGCATCTGCAGCACCAGACGCTAGATGGCAGAGTGCCAAGGTAGCGCTTCCAATTACACGGACCCTGCAATAAATCAGGGTGTGGGGTTGGGGGCAAAAGAAGCACAAAGGTTGTGAAAACAAACACTCTTCAGAAAATGAAAGAAACCCCATGAGCAAAGGTTCAAAAAGTCAGTTTCTGGGCACTAATTTGTTGCATACATAAGGTACAAAACATAAACTACACCATTACCTTGAAAAATAATACTTTCTAGCAGTTTAGCTTCTTTTCAGTAAAATTTTATCATGGATGCCTGATGCAATGTTGAGTTGACTCCATAAACCTCATGCAAACTAGAAAGACTTTGCATGCAAACTAGAAAGAAAACTAGAAGGATTTCTCCTAGTGAATAAGAAGCTTCTTCATGGGGTACTGACATGAGAAAGCTGGACTCCATATGCACCTCTGAATGCCTAAAAATATTGTGAGTTAACCCACGATATTTGGGGCAAACTGGATTTAAGTAGATGACTCATTAATTGAAATGTTGATCAAGTTGCCAGTATTTTACTTACAAAGGTTAATGAATTTTATATAAGAAAAAAAATCTTACCCGTGAGCTTGGGCTCTGAGTAATCGCTCCATGTTACTGAGAAATAGTTTCAAAGTGTCAGGATCTCGTTTAGGACCGATCTCAGTTAAAATCAAAGCCTTTGAAATATCTGAAAGACGATTGATTGATTTGCTTTTTTGCAACAGCTTTTCAAAATAGGCTATTTTAACTTTATATTGTGAAGTATCTTCTGAGGTAAATAAAACATTTTCAATTAAGTATATAATTCTATGAATATTTAGATTGAAAAAATTCTACACATCCCAGCATTCTTATTAATAATCCTATGTTATGAGACCTTATTTTTTCTATGCCATCAAAATTCCATACCTTGAACCTATATGAATCAGATCTGGTTAATATTACTTTCATTTTAGTTGCATATTAACTAAATGTTAGTTTAGTTTAGTTTCATTTGTTGCATACATTTTAGTTCAAACCTTTTAATTATTAGTTCGAAGTATTCACCACTTAGAATCATGACAAAAGAATCTAGAAGTACTTTTATGAAAAGCATCTTACATCTTATGAACACTTTAAGTCTGTGGTGAAATGATGTTTAGATACTGCAAGGAAGATTTTGCTTACTATCATACATTGACAAAATGCAGTTAATGCCCCATTGTGAAGTGCATCATGTATTCTTTGAAAACAGACAGCAAAAGGCAACACAACAGCTTAACAAGCTACTCCAGTGCTGCACAACACAGAAACAACTACAGAGTCTGAATATTTTACAACTAATTCATTGGATAATATCCTATACTGTACCGATGTTAGTGGAATAGATTACTAGCACTACAGAAACGAGCTGTTCCTGAAACAAGACAGAAACAAGTGGCAGCACCCGTTTCTACAACAGTCAGCAGAAGGAACACTTCATATATTATAATCCCAACATGGAATAAAAGCTGCTTAAAACAATTTCCTTGCAGTATAGCCTGTAATATTTCAACGCAGCTTTTCATGCCGTTTTACTTCATTGAATGAAAATTCCATGTCAACACCACCACATCTGAAGCAGCTTGAAGTCACCATATTTCACCTGCCTAACACTGAAGAGTTGCCCAAAACTAAGATTTCACAGGGATCATCAGATGTGTTGTAGCCAAATTTGCAGTGATTTATAAAGCCAGCTATGAACTACTAATGTTTAAATGAATAGTTACACTTCTGTGCAAAATTACACTTTTGTGACAATTACGTACATACAAAGTACATTAAGGGCACAATCCTATGCAGAAAAAAATTCAACAACTCCCAGTATTCCCCAATCAGTCATGCTGGGGACTTTTTTTTTCTTTCTTGACTTGGATAGGATTGTGCCCTAAGCCAATCTAGAACTATCAGAAATTCTCTAAAATAATAATATTCAAGATATTTCTTTTAGTGTGCTTACAAAAATCTAAACCAACCTGTCACTTTTGATACCTGAAGCCTTTTGTCATTACAATATGCCCCTTGACCTCTTCTACCCGTGTATAATCGCTCTTCAGTGCAGTGATAAATTACACCAAATTCAAGCTTTAGGATTTTGAGGAGAGAAAAATGAACGTGAATGCAATTTGTATAATTTGTATCAGTATGAACAACTTACCACTATTTCAAATGCATATAATTGCAGTTTATGCTACTACTAATAAAATGGTTCTGATTATTCCAGATCTCCATCTGTATGTGCTATATCAAATGAAATACTTTCACCTGTTTACGCAGACATATCAGGGCTAATGTTTACATTGAAGTCAACTCTGGCAATGCCATTGCAAACATTTTCTCCACAGTGCTGGGCACAACAAGCAAGAGCAAATAATACAATGTTCACACTGCTGCCTGGAGTACCTGGCATCTAGTTCCTCTCAGGAACATACAAGGCTGGCACAGAAACTCTTCACACAAGGGGCAATTTGCAAGGTGAGCAGGTCTGCCATGTTAGGCCAGTTCTGTACAGATGTCCCCCATGGACAGGCGTTTAGCATTTCCCACACAGCAGGCATTTTGCAATAATTGGTGCGGCTCTGTAACACTCATTAACAGTGATCCAATATTACTACATATGGATTCTGCTTAACATACAACTGTGTGTTGATAGTAGCCTTGTGTCCTCAAACACAGATCAACCCCCAAGCCTCAGTTAGGACAGTATCGAGTGGAAATGCAGCAGAAACAACTTCTCCCCTAGTCCAGTCATAACTTTCCTTGCCTCTCCCAGACCCCCACAATTTGATGCAGAGACCAGAAACAAGCAGAGCCATGAAGAGGAAGAGGATGTTGCCCTGAAGAGGGAGAGGAGTGAAGTGTTTAGTACCCCACTTGGCATCATCCCCTTTCCCTGCTTTACAGTTTTTGGCACTGATCTATATCTGAAGAGAAAAGTCTGTCAGTGCTTCATGTAGCTCCATCCTAAAGAAGTACTGCTATCTGGATGAGAAGTTTGTAAGAATCAAATGAAGTTCAACCATTCTTCCCCAGCATTATCTGGTTCACTTGGTTCATCCTTCCCACCTATCATCTAGTGATGGGTGGATCCCACCTGACTCAGCTTTAGTGATTTTCCCCATGGGGTGCACTAGTTGTTCTAGTTTGGATTTTAGGATGGAGGAAAAAAACCCATTCCATTATGTTTTCCTACAGAACTATCATGTGCAAAGTCAACTATTCTGCCCTGAAATGAACAGCATCGAGTGCAGGATGGCTGCAAATACTGTCTGTAAGGCTTCCAGACAAGTGTCTAAAATTTTCCGGCAACATGAACAGAGAGTCAGCAGCAGCAGGCTACGTTTGCCCCTTGGTTGCTCAGCAGTTCCTTTGTGCAGCTGTCAGGAGACTAGCAAACAGCATGGCTGGATCTAAGACTCTCTTCCGTCACTACGATGCCATTCCTAAATGCATTTACTTGGCAGCAAGTGTCATTGATGTCAGTGAATCCGAATTCAAGAAAACAGGTTCAGAATTACCATGAAAGGCTACTCATAAAAATGCAACTCAAGCATGATTGGAAAAGTATTACATTGTTATTAAACACACTGTCTAGAATGAATATGCATTGTTTTAAGACAACTCATAATAAAACTGCTCGGTACACTGAAAGGTCAGTTTGAGGGCTGGTTGTGGAACCCAGATTAACACTTAAAGTTAGATAAGCTAAAGAGCTTTGTTCATAAAAATTAAACTTTATTAACTTCAAGATCACCAGATGTTTGTTACATCTGTCATTTATTCTTGAAAGCTGCAGCTGAAAGCCTATTGCACCCACTTACAGAAAATTATCTTTTACCTCTTGGTTAACAGCAAATCCAATGCTAACAGCCACAGTAGGAAACCTGTATAAAGAGAATCAATTGTATCCATTAATATACTTTCTGAGCAATGATTTTTATGTAGCAAGCAGCAATGGGATGATGTTTCTTTATTTTTGCTGGCATGCCATGGAATTTACTTTGGTAGCTCTTTATTTTTTTAAAACACAGATTGGATCAGTTTTCCACTGCAGGCAAAGAACAAAGCATGGCAGAAATAGCTCAATTCTTCATCCTTCTTATGAACTTTTCTTTTTCAATCTAGTATACAGAAGCTTCAGTCTGTGGGCCTAATCCAACTTACAGAAGCTTGTGCCACCTCCACAGGTCCGGCCCCTTTGGCTCTGCAATCTCCACTCCCTGCACAAACTCTACCCTACCAGAGATTGGAGAGGAGCTGGGGAAAGGAATCCTCACCTCTTATTTATGGTCACAGATCAGCAATTTTTATTTTATTTTACTTTATTTTGGATATTTCTAGCCCGTCCATCACTGTCGTCCCTGGACAGCTTACAATGAAATACAGTGTGGATTCAGCTGTGTATCAGCCAACTGGCAGGGGGCAGTGTGCAGGGGATGCCCTGTAGGAGGGTGGCAGGGAGAGAGGAAAGTACGCTAGATGAGGGACAGGGCCTGGCTCAGCTTTGTCCACCTGCCTCCTCTACAAAAGGGGCAAGGGCAGGGGCAGATGAAGCCTGGGTGAAGTCCAGTCTGCACGTTCCCTGATCAGGGAAGCACTGCCACAGCAAAGTCTGGTCCCTGGTTCAAGTGCTGGGTGAATGTTCTACCCAACAATTCAGCACATCTGTTGTGATGCGATGTCATGAAGTCTGCAGAGGGCCAATTGCAACTGAACTCCTTCACTCACTCATCCTATCTTGTTTCTCCAGTCCTGCTTTAAATCTCAGGTTGCTGTACATACAAATTGGAGTTATTTCTATCCCATCCACCAGCAGATCCCTTGACTGACACAACTTTGCTGTGAAGCTGTATCTAAGAAGAGATGGCAGCTGATGTTTCAGTATAAGGATGCGGGCTCAGTTCAAATCCCAGATCCTAAGGACTCCTATTGTTAGAGAACTTCATCTTTGGAAAATGTACACATTATTTGGTATGTTTCCCTGTCCCAGTATCTTACAGCCCATTTCCACAAGTTACTGCAGTTTTAGAATTTGCAATGTAAAAAGCCATGTCAAAGTTCTGTAAATATACTTAAGTTGAAATCCTATGGGATGAGCTGCTGAATGCAGAGTCTTACAAGCTCCCAATGAAGAGCAGGAGCAGCAATGGAGAGAAACTTTATCTCCCTGTACCTCCTGCTTTGCATTTCAACCATATGGCTGGTTTTTGGCCATCTAGCTAAGAACTTTCAGAGGGGGAGTGGCAGAGACTGCAAAAGACACAGATACCTTGTATTGTGGTTCTGTTTGCTGGAGGCTCTGAGGTCCCTTTTCCAACCTTGGGAAGGCAGCCAGTGCAGTTCTTTCCACACCAACTCTGAGGGGATCAAGGGACTGGAACAGGGACATACAGCTTGGAGCTCAAAGCCCCATCTTCAACCTTGAATCTTGGAATCTGGAGTGCCCTATGCCTGCCTCCCTGCCATGATGTCTAAAGGCCAGAAGGCTGCACCCTCCAAGGATGTCTCAAGAATATGCGCATTAAGGAAAGCAAGGTACTGAGCTTGACTGGCGGTTTGAGAAGGTTACCTAACATGCCAACAAGCATTGGTCAAACAGAAAGATACATTTTTAGATACGAGGAAGAACAAATTTAAGATTTAAGTGTGTAATTACCTATGTACAAAATTGCAGGTACCATCAACAGGATCAATAATCCACGTAGGACCGTCATTGAGTATACACTTCGAACCGGCGGCAGCAGCTTCTTCCGCAATAAAGCTGTCATAAATGTGCAGCAGTACCATGGATGAGAAAATTCAGATTAAAGCCTTATTGTTGGCAGATACATTTGTGTCTGTTAAAAGGTTTTCAGCCTGAAGGCAGTTCAGGAAATAGTGTTTTCAGTTATTCTCTGCTTCCTTTAATTTTGCAGAGGCATTACATAAAGCATTAAAATATGATCAAGGGCTCTTAGGGAGGCCTTCCATACTATTCCTCTGTATATGTTTCAGGGCCTTACAGAAGGGGAACCTCTACCAGCCTCACCCATGGTTTGATGCAGCCACAGCTTGTTCATCTCACCATGTGAGAGAGTTCCCCCTTTGGATGAGCACTGGAAGCACATACAGAAGGTAAAGCACAATCCCTTGTATTTTTCCTTTGGTAGCATACAGAGCACCAAAGCTCTGCAATGTGACCAGAGTGCCAGATAAGAAGTTCCATTTTGCAACTTAAAAAAAAAAATCTATCAATCAATGCAGACTGCACCCCACACTTTGTATGTGCATAGGGCAGACAGTTGAGGAGAAACAAATGTTGATCGCATCTCGTTTGACTCTAAATAGCATTGTGGATTCCCAGCTCACACTAGCAAAACTTTAGGCCATTTCATGTTTGGAACTAGTGCAATGCTGCACAATTGATATTGCTTATTGTTACAGGTTCCAAATCGAACAATTCAATGCTAAGTGCCCTGAGAACTGCCAGTCATACCCCTCCACACCTTTCAAAGACTAATAGCATTTTTATTCAGGGCACTGAAAGCAAATTTAAATGTGTCTTTCTCCTCTCTGTGCATAAGCATGGTATCAGTATTGGATAGACTGTGGAATACATTCTGTTAACCAACCCAAATATTACAGTTGTAAACAATGCAATATCCAGGTTGTCTCACTTGTTAAAACAGTCTTCAGTTCAAGTCTGCACAGACATCAAGCTTTGTGAAGTGTTCCAGAATGGGAAGTTACCATTTTCTCACCTTAACACAGCTATTTCCTCCTTTTTAATCTGGAGAATCACTTAAAAACACTTTAGTTTACAATTTCAGTCATGCTGATGTTTACAGACTTTTTTATGTGAACAGATGCCCACTAAAACTAGTCTGAAACTACTATTTCATTTCACTAATCTGGATTTGAGAAGACAGAGGCAGATGTATTAAAGCACAACGTACTCTTATAACCACTTCACAACCCTCTGCTCATCTCCCTATTGTATCTCTCAAAGCTTTGTGCAGATTGCACAGAATGAAATCCATGCTTTTTAATCTCCAGTTTTAAGCAATATTCAAAGCACAGGGATCCTCTTTCTAATCACTTTTAGAAAATAGCATCCTTATCACTGTTTCCTATAAAAGCTCTCAAGATTGATTCTAAGTGCACTTTCTCATTTCTGGAGTGCTAGCTATGTCCTTCAATGTGCAGACACATTACCATACCAGAGTTCTGCGATGGCAAACCTACTTGATTGACTTCTACATGATAGGTAATGACTTGCTGGTCATGCTGTTCTCCTAATTATGGTCAATTATACACCTGTACTTTCTCTTGCAATTGAATTGGAGGCTGTGGAGTACAGTGACTGCTAGACCAGGTCAAAGAACAGTCAACCTGAAATACCCATTTTGCCCAAAAGCAGAGTGACTTTGAGCCAGTTATTATTATTAAAACAGATATGATCAATAATATTTTGGCCTCTTTGGGACAAAGCATTGTGACCTAGAGCCTGTAACACAACACCTTAAAACTGGCAATGCATCACAGCCAGGTTTATAAGCATATTTGACGGACCAGCGCAGCCAATCCCAGCTCTCCAAACAGTATACCTACATGAAACATGCTTGTTACAGTCATTCACATGATGCATGAAGAAGACCTATTGCTATTGTTACTACCTGTCCCTCATATACACATTCTCTATTCCAAGGCAAAACATACCATGACGAGAATAGTACCATGATTAGACAAACCTGTGGGTGGGAAACTTTTCTTTCAGAGCAGAAACAATTAAATTTTCCACGAAGTGATCAGTTTCTGTCACAAGGTCTGCTGCAGATGTTTTGGTGGACACCTGCTTTTCCTCAGTGAGAGCCTTTTGAATAATCTAGAAAGAACATATCAAGCATATCCATTATTCCCATAATTTATCAAAAGCCAAGTGCACATAAAACTCCCATCTTATTCAAATAAACGGCAAAAATATATAATCGTAAGGACAAAATCTTGTCCTCATGCTGGTACGTTATGCTGGTACACAACGGATCAGCTGGAACCATGTTGGTGTTGATGTAACATACTGCTAAGTGGGCCTCTGTGCTGTCATATAAAAATTAGGATGTCAATGTCAACCTCAGTACAGCTTTGATTTTAATTTTCTGTAAAGTTTGGATCACCCTGTTAAAAGTCACAAGGTTTTGGTCTCAGAATCATTATAAAGTCTTACTTCTTTTTACAGTCTTTCATGTTTATACAGTAAAATTGGCATCAAATGATTAAGTGACAGGTTTTATCATTAAAGTCACTCATTCACAGAGGCGGAGAAAAAATTATGCATGGAGCTTGAAAAATGCACAGATGTTTCCATGGAACACTAGGAGTGCCTTCCCTTTTGCTGACACTGTGATGGCATTAGGTCAGATCCTGCTTAGGCGTATTGACTGCCATACATATTTGATGAAGAAGAGTGAAACTCTTTTGATGAAGGTTTGCTTTTGAATTAGGCCCTTTTTCCAAGATAGACTCAGAATCTGGTTCTGAAGTACTAACAAATATGAGCTGGTGTTAAGCGAAGTCTTGGAATTTTGTGTAGAATACATGGTAGAAATAATGGTTAAATAAGTGAATTCATTTGTGGGTCACATTTTAGTGTGCTGCTTAAACTGGATGTTCAGTTGCATAAGATATTTGCTACAAATAAATAAGAATAACTGAGAGACCAAAGAAGAGGCATGTAGGAAAAAGCATCAAGGTTATTCTTTGTTTTCTGCTCAGACACTGCCAAAAAGAATTTCATTCAAACTTTTAAGAGTTTATTTCAGTTTTTTTAAAAAATGAATGCAGACCCCTCTCCTCCCAAAATGCAGAGTACACAGGCATACCCCATAATGAGAACCTTTCTAAAAGCATGTTACTACAAATATTTTTCTAAGACAACTTGAAGGGAACAGAATGGCCAGTGATTATGCAAACCTGGTCTGTGTATTTTTATGGAATTAAAAATGACTATACTAGGAATCACATGCCTCATTTTTCAGTGTCAACACCCCATAAAATAAAAAAGCTCCACCAAACCCTAGTGCAAATATGCAGCCATATACATATGCACATGGAACTGTATTCCTTACTGCACTCTCCCCTCCAGACTCAGTGAAACTTCTGCCTAAACAGGCATGGCAGGATTGGGCTCCAAGGTACCCAAGAGGAATCTGGAGGCCCATGAGGCAAACCAGTGAACCCACCACACGTTTCTTCCAATATAACAACTAAAAGAATGCATTTAGCTCAGTGAATAGAAAAGCAACTGCCATCCAGAACATCATACTGGCGGGATGAGAGCAGGGGATGGGTGGTTTCTCCAGGTTGCAGCAGGCAAGACCTTGTGGATGGAGAGGTGGAGTTGCAGTGCTCTATTTTGGTCCTGTCCCCTTGACCACATGCCTCATCCCACAGTTTTAAGGGTTTCCCTGCTGGTGTACTACCTGCCCTGCAGCCTCAACAGTTTGTTACAGCAGCTTCAGTGGGTACGAATCTGCTTCAGGGCACCATTCAAGTACTAGCTATGACCCAGAAAGCACTGTTCAACGTGTGGCTAGGCGATGCACAAGACTGCCTTTTCCCATAAATGCCTGCCCAAGCGTTCCTGTCTTTGGGGAGGCCTTCTCTCAGTCCCACCACCATTTGAAATACATCTGGTGGCTTCGTGAGATGTCTCCTGCCTGGTAGCTTCCAGCTTCAGGAGCTCCCTGCTCAGGGAGCCTGCATTGGTCCCTTCTGATGTTCTCCAGATGGCAGATGGAGATGTTTTTTTCAGGCAGGCCTCTGGCATGTAAGCTGGCTTGCTGGCTGGAGGGTTTTTAATTGGTTTGGTGCCGTTTCATTCTTCCATTGTTGTGATGATAACTTGGATGCATATGTTCATTACGGCTTTGCTTTAATCTGTTTGTTATTGTTGTTAGCCAGCTTCAACACCAGCTTTGACGGAAACAAAAGAAGTTAATAAACTCCTCATTACTGACTTGTGGCAAGAGAAGAAAGAAGCTGTCAGAAACTCAGAGGATATATAGGTTACATTTTCATCAACCCCCTGTGATTTCTGAAGAAAATTAGGGATTTTCAGCTTCAGTTACTATACCAAGTAGACACTAATAACAGCAATTGAGTGTGTGGGGGTGGGCTGGGACTGTAGGAAACAATTCAGCTTCTCACTTCTGCATTCCACCTGCTCAAGAGTGGACTGCCAAACAATCTAACTACAGGCCATTTTGCTCCTTTTTAAATTTTAAACCAGTAAAAAAACCCTAATTTTAAAGTATTTATTTAATACTCATATTTAAAATAAATCCAATGTGTTAAAAATTGAAATTTAAATCAGATTTATTTGAAGGAAAATGTCTATTCATATCAGTTTAATAAATGCATGAATTAGATAATTCTTTGGTTGCATTTCAAAGCATGGTGCTTACAAGGTATGCAAGAAAATATCATAACTGGATCACAATACACAGTTTTAAAGAGAGCAGGTTGAATCAAATGATGCATAAACTGCCTGCATGCCCCCCCACAGCCCTTTTGGGGGCCCTCCATCCCATTTTCCTCTAAAATGAGGGATGCAGAGACCACGCACCTTGCTTTAAAACAAAATGGCACTCTCCAAGGACACATTTGAAACACGGTGCTGGTGGAGAGCTTTGCAGGAAGAACAACGGGCTAGAAATCAAGCCACGGCTGGAAGCAAAAATGAGGCTGTCATAGTTCAGATGCAAGACAACCATGTAAGAGAAATCAAAGGCCGAGAGAAGAGCACATAGGAGATGGGCTGAATCCACAGGGAATTTGGGAGAACTGAGTGTAGCTGTTGGAGGGTTCTCATTCATAGAACCACCGTAAGTCAGAGATTATTGATGGCACATAGCAACAAGAACGACTGAGAGCACGACTTTGCTTTGAAACAAGCCATGCACATTATTTAAAAGGAAAAGGCAGGGGGGCCCTGTGGCAATGCAGCATACATTTTGACAGATTGGAAACGATTTCACCACGAGATGCCTGCAGCCCCCTGCTGGGCTGGAGGTGGAACTGGCTCTCAGACAACCAGAAGTTGCCCATTCCTTGACTGAACCACCACGCACCGATTAATTGAAAGGAATTCGGCGAGCACAGGGCCATCATGAAGAGACATGACTCCACTGCAAAGCACTGAGCAACGAGCTAAGGGCGTAATCATTTACTGCAACAGATGTACACACATGTAAATTCCAACCTCAGAGGCTTGCATACATCCAAAGGCTGGAGTTAGGTGTGCTGGTGCCTGTCTCCACCATCACTGCACCTTGCTTGGGGCATTTTATGTAGACAGCCATTTTCAGCCATCCCGATAAAATGCCAGGGAGGGGGACCGAAGGTGACTAGGGTCCCACTGGAAATCAGTGTAAATAGATGACCCCAGAGTTTTCCTTTTGCAGCCCCAGGGATTTTCTCTCCATTTTAATGTTGCTATATCATCCTTAGCATGAACTATGTTTATCCAACAGAAGATAACTTAAAATAGGAAACCCACCATGCTCAATTTTAGCAAACACTGGCAATATAAGAATACTCAAGGGCCTTTCTTGCTTTTACTGGAAAGAATATAAACTTATGCAATAGGTAGTAATCAGATATTCTTTCTAGGTCAGGTGATCTCCAAATTGCTTGTTAAATGTTAGGACTTCATGCTGCAATGTGAGAAATTTGAGTAAGGCAACAATAACAGA